AGGATCTTCTGTATTTTTCATTCAGTATTCCCTTTGTGCAGAGATCCTGGAAATAGTGAGGTGTGTGTTTCAGAAAAGGAGGGGCTCATCCTGTTAGTTCTTGGACCCGGAGGCCCCGAGGCTGAGATGGAGGACATCTAGATGCCTCTCCCTGTGACTTCCCTAGGAAAGTTACAAAGCTTCCTTTGTCACAAGATGAAGAAACATCTAGCTGTCACGGTCAGAGAAGGCCTATCCTTTTTTCACCTCCAAATAAGGGTGTCAGTCATCTGGGTCATTTTTTGAAAATATAACTGTATTTATTCTTTCTCTCCTTAATAGCTCTGTTCTAGCTGATTTCAGACATCAGTCTCATCACTCCAGGAATTGCCCTACTCCAGAGCCACCCAGCATTGTATGCTCTCTCCCCAGTCTGTCCCAAAGCAGGTGGCCTAGAGTGAAGAAGAGAAAGTACAAGGGGAACAAGACAGGCATGTTCCTTTCAGGCCAGAGCCTGACAGACCCAAGAATCACCCACTGGTAGGAGTGATGGGGTCTTAGGATCACCTTTGAATCTTAATCGCTCATTTGTCCTCCTACCCCTCACCTACTGTTCCTCATATTCAACCTCTGAAACAGTTATCCCACAGCCAAGAAAGAAACCAAAGCAGAAACGTAAGACAAGAGGGAGAGGTGGAGATCACGAGTATCCTGGATATGGCCCTGGCTAGGGGATAGGGGATATCTAAGGGTCACGAGGCCATATATGGGATGTCTAAGGGTCATGTAGTGTGTAGCTCCATCCGTTTGAAGTTCTTAATGATGCTGGAAGTCACTCACCTCATGTGTGGCAGAGAGGACAGGATACCCAAACTAAACAAGGGCCCAAGGAAACTTCCAAGGCTCATGGGTTTATTGACTCAATCACAGATATGTAGCCTGGAGGACTGCATTTTCTGTGGGGTTAAATGTTCACAAAATTTAGGGGATGTGAGGAAACAGTCAGGAGAGATTTCATTTCAAGGAGCCAGCTAGCCCTCCTTCCATTCCCCATATGCCTGGCCTCCAGAGGCAGCTTCAGAAGGGTGAGCTGTGGCAAGCACGCCACCGGCTCTTGGAACTGCCTGTCCCCAGCTGTGTTCAGGAAGGTAAAGAGGTCTGCCACCCAGGCGGAGCCAGGGAACTGACTCACAACAGACCCCCTCCGCCATTCTTTATCCCATAAGCACATTTGGGGAAGCACTTCCCTGGGGTTCACACAAAACAAGCTGGCTGGTCAGTCACATGGGGTCCAGTACCCCATGAGGTGGTATGCACAGTGCTGTATGTATGTGCCTTTTCTCTGGGGAGAGTCCAAAGTTTTCTTCAGCTTTTCCTGACCTCCCCACTCTCTCACAAGTAAAGGAGCACTAACTTAGGGAAGAGGAAGGGACCTCTTCTGACCTTCATGGGCAGGATTTACCCTGAGAGAGGAAAGGTAGTAGGACACTCAAAGGCTTCACATGACTTTGGACCCAGGTTTCCACAGAAGCGTCCTCGCAAGTGCCTCCTCCCATCTCAGGGCTGTTTGCAGCCCTGTCACTTTTCACTGTGGCACAGCACACAGCGTCTTACACACAATAGGCACTCAGTAAATACTTGTTGAACAAACATGGGCTCTAACAAGACCGCTACCAAGAATAATGGAAGGACTGTGTCCCAGTTGCCCACAGTAAGATATGACATGCAGACCCTGGTGTCACATGGCCATTGTCACCATCACCTTGTTGCCTGTGGTGGTGAGCTCCCTGCGGCACCCACCTTCTCTTCCCTCCACCCCTAGTCTCATGTCACCAATCCTGCCCCTTCCTGGACTGATGCAGTTTTGTTTTTCTCCTCCTGATAGTAAAGGTGCTTACTGGCCTTCCCTCTGCAGGTTGGTTTCCTTCGCAGCCTTGGTTCAGATAATTGCCTTCTGGGTAAAGGATGCCCCCAGGCTCCCTGTGTTGGGGGCGGGCTCCGACACACAAGGGCCTCTCTACCCTGCCTCTCCCCACAGCTGCTGTTGTGCTGGATATTTTAGTGCTCAGCCTCTGGGAAAATCCTCCATCCCAGAGTCAGGATGGCTTGACAGCTGGAGGCTCTATTTTTAACAATTGCTGAGTTCCTAGGAAAGCCCCATCGCAGGATCCGCTGGCCTCCAGGCTCCCTACCCCCTCCTGCCCTCCATGTGCCTTCAGTGGCCCCAGGGTAACCAGGGGTGCCCTGCCCTGCCTGGCCTGGCCCGAGCTTGTTTCTCCTACCTCATATGGCAGGCCACCCTTCTCCCTTGTTTACTTCTCCAGCTGCATTTCCCTCCTTGCACTGTGGTTGCCTTTAATTTATGTGTTCCCCCTCCGAGCAAGGGCTTCCTCTTTACAGCACCATGCCTGGCACATATATCCAGTTTGTTGGTTCACTCAGCGTTTACTAAGCACCTGCCACGTGCCAAGTCTTGTTCTGAGCACTTGAGATACACCAGTGAACAAAACAGACCAAAGCTGCTCATGCTTGTGGAGCTTCCAGTCTAGCATGGAAGACAAGCACATAATAAATGAGTAAATGAGATAGAGAGTGGTGAGCACTATGTAGAAAGCAGAGCAGGGTATGTGGGAGTGGGAATGCTCAGGAAACTCATGTGAAGTTGAATTAGGACATGGCTAAGTGGACATAGATTGGGAATTCTTCTTTTCCTCCCTGACTCAGTTCTAACCAGTGTTCCCCAAGCCCTTGACACAGGCTTTGTACTCTGCACTGTGACTACATTTGGTCGATTCCTCTAACCAAAATATAGTAAGTGCAGATAAATATTAATAGATGTCCAAAGAGCGTACTGGGTTGTAACACCTCAAACCAGTCAGACCAGGTATGTCACTTGTCAACCTTCTTCTTCATAGCACACAAAGAACACATTTGGCAGCACACTTAGAAATGTGGGTAATGCTTCCCAGAGCCCCAGGGGCCCTGAGGACTGGGGGCGGTAGGCGGGGGTGGATGTTGCAGCACACCTGGAGCTCATTTGAGGCATCTATCAGTAGTCAGCAAACTTCAGCGTGCTTTAGAATCGCCTGGGTGATTAACATGTTTGCATGTTCTGAGGCTTGCTGAGTTCTTAGGGAAGGCCCAAGAGTCTGCTTAGTCACTACTCTCCCAGATGGCTCTGGGGCTGCTGGTCTTCAGACCCCACTTTGAGGAGTGGCATTACGGAGGTATATAGTAAATTGCAGTATTTGCCATGTCCTTTTACTTGAAGTTGGGAGCTATGGAAAGAATGATGTAAATCAGGGAGTTCTCAAACTTTCGCATGCACCAGACTCACCTGGAGGGCTTGATGAAACATGAATTGTTGGGCACACCCCCAGAGTTTCAAGATGGGGCCCGACTATGGGTATTTCAAAACAAGTTCCAGTTGACACTGATGCTACTCGTCCACAGGACCCCACTCTGGGAACCACTAATGTAAATCATTCAGGAAGCTTGTGTACTTGGGAATTTGGATTCCTGTAAGCTAAGTTCACAAAAACAAAATTGGGGTTCGTTTTTGGAAGATAAGGCCAAACCCTTTCATCTAGGCAGAAAACATCAAAAGAAATAGGTTTGAGAAACCAAATCAGAATAAATCTCTCCTTTGATAAAAATGCTGCTCTGTGACCTACCATCATCTTCACATCTACCCACTAACCTGTGGTGTGCTGGTAAATGCTTAACAACCAGTTGTCATGGACCAAGGGTAGAGGAGGCTGATATGTGTCACTTGCCCATTTCTGTCCACCGTGGCCAATTTCAGGCTACCATCGTGAAGTCACTGAACGTAGAGCTGGGAGGAGGCCCCCAGTGGCCCCCCAGTGTCCACAGGAGCCAGCTCCACACCCCCTGCTCCAACTTCTTGAGGGGCTTGCAGCCTTTCAAGGAATGTCTCATTCCTAGTTAGTTATAGGATAAGGACTGTTTCCAGCTAGGCTGTGGTTACAAACACAGGATCTGTTTGTTCTCTAAGTACATAACCTGAGCCATCTGTCCTGCCTGTGGCCTGGAGTGTCTGTGAAGCCCTAGAGTGTCGCCTCTAAACACTGGGCCCAGCTCAGGTGCAGGTGGCAAGTCCCTTAGGAAGTTCTCCTTCCCCCTCAAAGGTTCCGGATCTCCCGCTCTTGCAGAAGAGCTGAGGCACTTCCAACACCAAACTCAGAGTGCAGTGGAAGTGTTAATGCCACATAAGCCCAAGTGAGGTAAAACCATCCCTTGTTGAAGAAATTACTTTTTGCGGCAACCCACCTTCTTAGACAAGTGACTAGAAAACACTGGGGAAATGCTTCTGTTCCAGAAAATAAAAAAAATAAAAAACCAAAAAAAGCCAGAAAAAATCTCTCTTGAGGCAGGGACTGCAAAGGTCCCTGACAGTTCAGGTCAAGATCATGGGAAGTATTCTGAATGTAGATGATGCCAGGGTAGCAATGGATCCCGAGCCATGCAGACAAAAGCCAAGTTCAGTCCCATTTTTCTCCTCCAGATTCTCTCCACTTCCCTCTCTACCTGCCTCCTCACTTTGACTCAGTTCTGCTTTCTCTCTTTCCTAACTTTCCTTCATCTTTCCAGATGCAGGACGCTATGGGCTATGAGTTACCATGGGTGTATTTTGTCAGTCTGGTCATCTTTGGATCCTTTTTCGTTCTAAATCTGGTTCTCGGTGTGTTGAGCGGGTAAGCTGACCATTTCTATGTCCTCTTTACAATGCAGCCGAGCAAGGTCCCAGGTTCCACTCTATCCATTGTCAGGATCCTCAGGGAAGGGACCCTAAGGGGCCCAGGAAAACCAAGAGAATCATTCCATTCTTCCATTCAACCACAAATTGTGACTCATTGGCTGGCAGGCTGTTTGGCCTCTGATTTTTCCTGTGAGGATCAGGGTCCCGGCACTGCGTGGGTCAGTGCCTGGAGCCGGTGATGGGCTCTGGGCCATGCTTGGCTGCTGTGTGCACCTCACTAACTATCATTCCATTCTTCCAGGTCAATGATGCCGTAGGAAGGGACTGGCCCTGGATCTATTTTGTTACACTAATCATCATAGGGTCATTTTTTGTACTTAACTTGGTTCTCGGTGTCCTTAGCGGGTAAGCAGGACCAAGGAAAAAGGTCTTGATTTTTCCATTTATTTTATTTACTCTTTCTGCTATTCTTGGCTTTATTCTTTTTCTGGCTCTGATGAACCTGGGATAAGGGGCCATCTCAGGATTCTTGAAGTGGATGTCCTCAGCCTGGCTGGGCAGAGGGTCAAACGTACAAGGATTAATCCATTGGTTTAAGCTTCCCCAAGAGACACAGAGGCCCACCTGTCTCCTGCCATCTCATCCAAGCCCCTCCCTCCATTAAGCAGCTGCTCAGATAGGCAGGATGCTTCTCCTCGTACCTGAGGAGTAGCATGGTGAGACTCTGGAGTGGGAAGACTTTGGCAGCTGGAATTGGAGGGAAGATGCATAGACTGTGTGTTTGAAACACATGCAACAGCCTTGCCGATAAGTACCTGCCGGACCCCTCAAGCCAATCAGTCTGTGGCAGGCTCACAGTAAAGATATCACACAGCCTTATTCAGTGTTGAAGCAGGGTAATAAGAGTTTGATTTATAACACAAATAAACAAATACAGACTACAAATATAATTCTCTTTTGTTCTAATTCATAGACTAAGCAGTCCATGTTTGGTCTCCCCATTTCTGAATGGAAAGGACACTTAGCTATTTAAAGCCCTAGATTATTTGAGAATGGAGGAGATGGATTATACTTTCATTTCAATTTATCTACTTGGCTGCAAGTATAAAACTTACCTAATGTTGGCCTTTGCTCAGATGAAGTTAAAAATAAGTAGAGGCAGCAGACATGCTGGGCATCAAGGAGCCCTGGGGATGGCCACCTTAACACCAGGGGACTCATTGGCTATTTCCTCAGCCCACCTTCTTCTTCACAAGCCCACACCAGCCAGGCCGAGGCCAAACACCTAAATGTTCCTGCTGACCCTGCTCCTGAGTGACACTCTGCTGCTTTTGCTACAAGGGGGGTGGTGATCAATTTCTGCTCTCCTTAAGACAGGTTAGCTCCTTTGAAGAGCCTTTCCTAGATCGCTAGGGACATTAGTGCTGGGAGAGAGTCTGGCCTAAGGAGCAAGGCTGATCTTCAGTTTTACTCAGTGATAAACTGGGAACAGCAGTCCCCTCTCCTGCCATAGCCTACTGCAATGCAGGAGCACTGGGTTCAGTCTTCAGTATTGTGTGAAGGAAGGAATGGGCTTCCATCCTCACCCTTTCCCGTGGTGGGTGGGCTGCGAGAGACTCTGATGACATCATGCCTTTTGCCAAGGTAACCCATATAGGAAGCTAGCGTCTTCCATTGGGGTGAGAATGATGAGCAGCAATTCCGGAGCTGGATTCCAACGTAAGCCCCTGATTAGCTGCCTGGAGGATGGAAGGGCTTTCATATCTGTGTTCCAACATGCGAAAATGCCCCTGTGTTTAAATGTGAATCACCAAGGAAAGCATTGAAAAAAAAATCAACCTCATCACCCCCACTCAGGACAGAAACTCAGATATTCCAGCTCTCCACTTACTGGATGCATAGTGTTGGGTAACTTCACCTTCTTAAAGTTTAGTTGCCCGCCTGTGAAAATGCAGACAATAATGCCAACTCATAGGTTGTTGTGACGATAGAATGAGATCATTCATGTAAAATACTTAGCATATGTTAGTAATCTATATTGTATATATGTATGTATATATATATGTGTGTGTGTGTGTGTGTGTGTGTGTGTGTGTGTGTGTGTGTGTGTGTGCTGGGTGATTAACATGCATATATAATAGTAAGTACTCAGTAATGGTGCTATCATTACAATGATTATGTTTACTTGGTGCCTATCATAATTGGAATTATTGAATATAATCATCCAATGTTAGAACTACTCCAACCCTTTCTTTTAAAGATGTGGAAAGTGAGCCCAGAGGTGTTAAGTGACTTGTACAGTGTCACTTCTCCGGTAAACATCAGAACCAGGCTTCCATCTTCCCATCACTGCCCATTGGAGATATGTTGAATGAGTTTGAACTGTAACACAAGCCAGAGCTCTGAACTTTTAGAAAATTTTCTAACAATTCCCACAAGTTAGAAAAAAATCTAAATAAGTGAAATTCCTCCCTCCCTGGAATCTGATGTGGAGCATAAGGATTAGGCTACAAAGCCCCTCCTCAGTCAGAGTATCTGCACACTGTCATCTTAACCCCATTAGAAGTTATCTTCCTGGTGGTATCAAAGCAGAGAAGACCAATGACAGCAGCTGCTGATGTGAAAGAAAAGTCTTTTTGAAGACTATGTCTTCACCTGACTAGCCTCGGTGAGACAGGGTGTGTAAAAACACCAGTCCAAAACCTGACACGTTGTAGTGCTCAGAGTGTGGCTGACTCTGAGCAGAATCGCTCAGGCTTTCAGAGCTCTCTGCTCCTGTGGGTCTGTGAGCCCATGTGTTGGCCTCCTGTGCCTCCCTGAGCACCTGCACCCTGACCCTCGCAGAGGGCAGCCTGCTCCTCGTGGCTCTGCAGTTGTGGACAGAACATCTCCCAAGGCTTCCTGGGCCTCTGGGCACACCCTCTGCCCGGATGAAGAAGTGTCTGTGGACAAATATGCCCCCCCTCCTGGTGTAAGGAGCTCCTCTCCTAATCTGTCAGAGGGCTGGCCAGTCCGAACGGGCTGCCCCAAATCCATAAAGTGACACAACCTGGACTTAGGCTCTATTGGCTGACTACATGGGGGCAACAGTTTTGTTTCAAGTCAGCGTCTTGATTAGTCAGGACGATGTCATAGTCATGAGAAGGTGGCAAAATGGCCACTTATTCATCAGTCAGACTCATGATTAAGCCAACCTTCCAGAAGCATTCAAAAAGGTCTCAGAGCCCAGGGAATTCAGTCACAATGACAGTGCTAACAGTAGCCAGCAGTCTGTGTCGGCCTCTGAGCTCTGAGCTTTAGGTGGATTAGCCCATTTGATGCTCACAACAACCTATGAGCTAGGAACTATTTATACCCCAAGCTATAGAGGAGAAGAGTGAGGTTTAGATAAAGAAACTACCTCATTTCTAACCGGTGAAAAATGGAGGATCCAGGATTAAACTCAAGCAATGTGAACCATACCCTCTGTTCCTAACTTCCATATTGTACTGGCCCCCAATCCAGTTGACTGCTTAATCCCATGTTCTGAAATTACAGTCAAGAAGTGGGGAGGCAGAAGCTGCCGTGAGGAAGGGTGAGAGGAGCAGCAGTGGTCAGTGTCAGGCTACTGGAAACAGCAGTGGGACAAGGAAGAGTCCTGGGAGGAAGCTGCTGAGCCATCACTGGGAGGCCACAGCAGGCAGCTCCCTAGTAGGGGGGCTGGCAGCCCTGCCAATCTGAACAGTCCCTGGGAGAGAACAGAGCCCCACCTCCACAGCACTGCATCCTTGGAGCATTCTGGGACAGGGGGTGAAACTTACAGTCATCAATTAAGGATAATATTATTTTACAGCCCAGGACAGTAACTCATCCTCATAAATTATATCCTTCAGTCACCAGGAAAAGGTTAAATTGTACTGGGAGCACTCTGCTCATGAAGGAAGGGAAGACAACACCCCATAAAGCTTCCATTTAAAAGGTAGAAACCAGAAACGTTGGTTATCAGACGGTCCTTCAGGCATCCTTTATCTGGAACACTCACATATCCAGAACAGCATATTCCTCACAAGGCCGGATAGAGTGTAAGGAACATCCAGCTCGTGGGGTTTTTTTCACGGTGCTTCCGTATCCATTGACTATTGATTCTCACAAACCACAGGATTGTTACCAGTGCAGATATGAATCAGGTTATATTTGCTTCCCTCACCCCCAGAAATCTCAGTCTCCAGCCTATCAGAATTAAAACCACAATGACAATGAGATTCTCAAAATTGCAGTTGAAGCTGTAATCAGCTGTGAAAGTCCCTGGACTCTGGAATCCAGTTACTCTTGTTTTTAGTGGTTGCAAACAGAGGGCTTCAGACATGTGCCTTCAGTTGACAGGGGGCCCAGGATCTCTCAGATGGGTGGGCATCCAGTTCCTTTTCCCACTGGGAGATGGGCATGTCTCTCTCCCCCAAAATCAGAGGGCCTGGTGGGTAGGCATTTTAAAACCTGAAAGCATAACTGGACCATGACACCACAGTTAAGACACAACATTCAGGTCCAGAAGGAAGCAAGAGAAAAGCAGGACTTACATGCTTTGTGGGTGGAAGCAGAAGAGACAGCAACACATACAGTCAGTTCTCATTATTCTATAAAGTCACCACAAACACTGAATTAATGCACCCTGAACCCACTGCTCTTAGGAGAAACACAAGGTTAGGTTCTCACGAGCCTCTGATCATTTTCATCAAGTGATCAATATATAACCGTGTATTGTGTGTGTTTCTGTTTAAAAACACCTTAGTTAATATACATTGTTGATTTATTAACATTGAACTCATGGCCAACAGCAGTGTAATTCACGGCTGAACAAACAAAGCGTATCCAACACGTGTATTTTCTCCATAAGGCACATTACAGTTTTCTTGTCCTTAGGACATGAGACAGCACTTCAGCACTATGCTTGGGGGCCATTTTGAAAAGAAAAATCACCAACAAAAAGCACAAAAATGCAAAAAATGTGGCACTAACTAGACCATAAAAAGGACATTTGTTTATAGTCTGAGATCTGAAACAAGAAGCATCACCTTGTCCGACCTCGGCTGGGAATGTGACTCAGGGTTTTTTTTTTGCCATTCTGCAAATGTCTGCAGATAACTTCATAAGTCCATAAGTTATTGATTTTGGGGTTACAAGTCAATATTAGTGAGTAGGCAAATACAGAATCTGCGAATAATGAGGACCAACGATATTGATTATCAGAGAGCACAGAGCCCCAGCCATCTGTACTGACTGGATTTTCCACACGCACATCCTTGTATGTGCTTTACATTAATGAGTCCTGGCCTCCTGGCTCTCCATGCCACCCCTCGTTTTTCATGTTGGCCATTGCTGGTGAGAGATGTGCTTCTGCCTTATGGCAAATCCCACAGCTGTGACTGATTGTCTGGCTGGCTCCTGTCCCTGAGCCCAGCACAGCCCGTCAGGCTGGGGCTTCATGTCTTCATTAGCTCAGTCCCCAGAGCAGATAAATGGCTGGCATCCAGGCAAGGAGATGAAGAGAGCCAAGCACTGCCACCCGGCAAATCCCTTACTGCGTAGGGCCTGGAGAGGGAACCCTGGCTCACCTTCCATCTGGCCATGATTTGATTGTGCCCCATGCTCTCTGGGAGCCAAGGGGAGTCACAGGGCTTCAGACCTGACCCCAAGCTTCTCCACACCCTCACACTCCCAATGCACCCAAGTTTTATTTCTCCCAGTGGGTGTTCATTTTGGGTCCCCAGAGGTCTTAGGATATGGATGGTGAGCTTCCATTCCACAGGGCAGAGGCTGTAGCAGGACTGGTTCAGTTGTCCCTACTCCAGTGTTATCCCAATCCTATTCTCCCAACTCCAGAAGAAGGATGGGTAGCTGTTTGGTAACGGATTTGAACCCTCTGCAAAATGTTCCAAAAGAGCTAAAGTGAACCCTCAGCTACTCAGTCACCTTACAACCCAAACCCTCTCCACAGAAAAGGAATGGAGAATGCAAATGCGTGTGGACAGAAAGTGTCAATAGGGTCCTTGAAGGGTAGTTTGGGAGTAATTTGCATGGAGAAGAAACTGCTGTTTGAAGTGACTGTCTCCAGAGAGCCAGCCGCCAGCCCTGGAGTGGTGTGACAAGTATAGAGGTTTGGGGGCAGATGGACTAGTATATTTTTGTGCTCATCCCCTATAGCAAAAGGAGGGAAGGGCATAGCAGAGCAAGGCTTCCATCTTCACTGCGAATGGTCAATCTGGCCCCTTTTCCTGGTCATTAAACATCCTGGGGAGGAAATGAAAACACCCGCCTGTTGGCAGGAAGCCCAAGAAAGAGCAAGTTCAATCCAATTAGAATTGGATTCAATCAAATTTAAGAAGGAAATTCCATCCAAACCAGAGCATCATTAAGGCAGCAGTTGAAGAGAGCTTGTTAGCTCAAGACCCCCCAGATCTCCCCATTCAAAAGTTCTCTAGGCCCCTCCCAGCCCCAACCCCATTTCATCATAAAAATGGCAGGTGCTAGAACCCGTGCTCTCACAAGCAGCACTAGCAAAATGCAAATACCACACAGTGAATGTGGTAGGAGAGCCACCCTACATCCCTGAATGGATTCTGGAGCATTTCAAGGTGGTTTCTGCAGACTCCTGCCCTGAACTACACCTTTACTGGTGAAAGAAGGAGGAATCATCTCTAAGAATTAACCAAGATGCCCAGTACAACACACACACACACCACAAAGGGCCCCATTTCCCATTGACTGAATATGAAATACAGAAATGCTCCTGTATACTGTTTGGGAAGAAAAGGCACAGACTTGCTTTGAGAGTTGAGAACTAGCCTTCTTGATTGTCCCCTTCTGCTGCCAGCCCCCTCCTTGCTTGGAAAGTGAACTTGAAGTCAGAGAGAAAATAAGGACAGAATCACAGAAAACAGAAAAGAAGTAGCCATTCTGTCAGAAATTTTTCAATAGGCCCTACTTCCAGCAAACCCCAATTCAATTCCAATTTCTATTCATTATTACTTTAAGCTGAATGTATCATTTAACTTTTACATCATCTTGATTTTATACATTTTCCCATGTATAGATTAGATTTCTTTTTTAACCTAAAGGGCAGTCCCCAGGACATTTTCTTGTGTTTGGAATCCTCATTTGTCCCCACGTGGGAAAGAACTTTTTCTACATGAAAAATCCCTCCAGGCAGCTAAGAGTGGCAGGACGAACCTTAATCATGAAAACAGAGGTGGTGGAGATTAAATCCCCTGGGTCTTAAGTCAGTGGTGTACTGGTAAATATTTAATAATTGGCTCTTTGTGGGGGGGGAAGCCCTGTTTTATAACATTTGCCAATTTCCATGGTGTAAATATGCTTACCATGGTCAATTTCAAGCCAGCAAGGAGACATCACTGAAACCAGAGTTGGGAAGAGACGTACACAGGTGACTCTCGGGAGATACTGTGGGTGAGCAGGTATCTTTTTGTCATGTGGAGGCTCTTGAGATTTTTCTAGCTTCTGCCCAATACTGAGGGAAATGAAAATTCATGCTCCATACTGTTGGAGGCAATTTTTGGTTGCTGTTTGGAAGGAGTTTCCAGGTCATTGGAGAACAGTTGTTATTAAAGGGAAAGCCTATGAACATGATCCAGGAAAAAGGGAAATGGATTTCATCCCTTCCCTTCAATGACTCCTTCCATTTATGTGAGAGTAAAGACAAAGCCTGAGATGACTCCAGAGAGCTGTCTGTGGAAGTAGGGGTATAGGGTGGGCTTCCTAGTGCTAAGCAATTAATGCTTGTGTTTCCTCTTGTCTCTATCGCTCCTTCATGCTGGCCTGCACCCTCCTTCTATGCGATCCCCTACCCTGCCCACTCCACTGTCTCTCACCAGAGAGTTTTCCAAAGAGAGGGAGAAGGCCAAAGCTCGGGGAGATTTCCAAAAGCTGCGAGAGAAGCAGCAGCTGGAAGAGGACCTGAAAGGCTACCTGGACTGGATTACTCAGGCAGAAGACATCGACCCTGAGAACGAGGACGAAGGCATGGATGAGGAGAAACCCCGAAACAGTGAGCAGCCTCCTCTGTCTTGGGCTGGGTGCTGGGAGAAGGAGGGGTTCGTGGGGAGGACAGCAGAAACCTCTTACCACCAACCTTTCTTTACAGTTTGTCTTCCTGGAGCAACATTTATTTCATAGAGTACAATCATTTGCTACTCATAGAAATGAGTCACAGATGTGAAATAACTGTTGTTGAACTATAAAGTCTCATATTCCTTTTAGAATCTTTGATCTTAAAGATAGTTGAGATTTTGCTAAGGTGGACTCTTTATCAGACATCCTCCTCTGGGCTCCATCTCTTGGGACAGAGGGGCAGGCTTCCTGCTCCAGGCTTGTTCAAAAGGAACAATTTCCACCAAGCAGCTACCTGGAAAGCAGGATTCTCACCCCTTTGCTGCAGACTTCCAAGCACCATTGCACTTTCTTATAGGAAAAGGAGCCAAAGGTTTCTCTTAAGGAGGTTAGAGTCAAAGATCTGGGAAAATACTAAATGGGAAGATTGAGGAAGCCCAGAGGCATTTGACCGAATACAATTAGATTATAGAAATTGAGCCAAATCCCTTCCTCTGCAGTTGCATGGAGCAGAGTGTTGGATGGGCTATTGCTGGGATAGAAATTAGAGCGATAGATGATAGTGACTCATAAGTGCAGGAATCATGGAAATCCAGGCTCTCATCAGATAAGCCCAGTGGTTCCCAAAGTGTGGTCACAACCAGCAGCACCGCATCACCAGGGAGCTTGCCAGAAATGCACATTCTTGGGCTGCACTTCAGATCCACTGACTCAGAAACTCTGGGTCAGCAGTCGGTTTGAATAAGCCCACAGGTAGTTGTGATGGAGGCTAAATTTGAGAACCACTGGGTTAGCTTTAACTACTCTCCGTGTTTTGTTTGACCTCAGGCTCTGTGACTCTACCACACTTCCTCTCCCTCTTTCTGTGTGCAGTCTTTCCCTTTTATTGCACATGTTTGAATGGGTGCATTTCTGTCCTCATGTAGCCTCACTTAGAAATGTGTCACTAAATATTGAGCATCTGGGGCAGTTAGGAACCAAACAAGTTAGAAACAAGTTAGATAGCCAACCAAACAGCTGCTGTTTGGATGTCAAGCAGGTACGAGCGGGAAGCCAAAAACATTCCTTAAGCGAGAGGGAAATAACGAGACCCACTGAGGCTCAGGGAAGCTGACTGAGGGATGTCAGCAGGATGTCATTTCTGAGCAAATGCGTCTCTCCTTGAGGAGGCCGGGAAGGCTGCTGGCCTGTCAGGACAGCTGACTCAGAGAAAACTACAGTCTTCCCATCAGTTTTAAAATCCCTGAGTACATAGGCCTGTGGGTACATACATACACTAGCACATACGTGGAAATACAGTGAGTCTAATTTGTCGGCCTTTTGAGCAGACATTGTGGTGTCCCTGCATTCAAACCCCCCAGACAGATGTGTGTGTGTTTCTACTCATTAGTATCTGGGTTCGAACTGGGAATCTAGAGATGGAATGGTTGGAGAGGAAGGGAAGGAAACAGCCAGCGATACAACCCATCTATCAACTGCTCCCTTTCTGATAACTCTGCTCAAGGTGCAAATACAAAATTAAAACACACAAACAACAAGGGACTGGTAACAACATAATTTAATAACCTAGGAGACCTTCGCGCTCTACTGAGTCATTTTGCAAGTTGGAAGACAGGGCCTTCAATGGATTATAACAGTGAACAATGATACCACTGAGGGTCTTTCTGGAAAAACACTTGGCAGATTCTATTACAGTGTTGATGGAGCTGTGGAGTAGCTAATTAGCCTGTGGCACTGAGTGGTATGGTAAATAAATAAGGTGGCCTGTGAGCCACAGAGAAGCTTACCTCTGAAGCACAGGAACTGGCGCCTTGGCCCCTCTCTCCATCCTATGTCAGGATGGAGCCCCAAGCTCCTGATCAATGCTGATGAGCATGTTTCTTAGCACATTCTTCAAAATGTGCGGCACCCACTACCTGTTAGCAGTCAGTTGCTATTCACAGACACACGTAGCTATTCTGTTCTCCACCTAAAGCAAGAGCTCTTAAGAGGTATGCTGCTTCCCTGTCCTGCCCATTAAGTGAATACATTCCAAGGAGTTCCCAGTGTGGAGAATTCTTTGCCACTGGAGAAGATCACTGGGACTAGGCCCATCTACCCACATTTCTGGCCAAGCTTTGGGAAGAGCATGATGAACTGCCTACCCCAGTGGACAGAACCTCTGCCAAGATTTTCATAAGCCTGAATATGGGTGCAACCAGCCTCTGGAGACTATTGTTCCTCCCACTTTGTACTTTCCTGACAGCTGGAAGACTCTTTGTTGCCTGCTTCTTGTCCTCAGCCAGTCTTCTCCGAGGAGAATGGAATGGGTGCCTGCCTCCTTCAATTGTAAAAATGGTGGTAGAACAATTCTAGGGGATTGCGGAAAGGGAACGAGTGTGTAAAAACAAGATATAGAGTAAAATAGACACATGCAGTGAAATGAATGTGAGAGACTCAGTAATGGAGCCAGGAAAAGAGTCTAAAGGACTGTGTCTATTGGGGAAGTCCAATTAAAAGCAGTTGATGTGATTAAATTATTAGGGAATTGGCAACCTAGTAGATTTTCAGGAAAGGCAAGCCCATGGCTCAGAAATGGTATTCTTGTCTTCAGAACTTCATAGTTTGCCCTCTGAAACAAATGCATGGGGAGAAATGCTGCTATAAATTGTGTGTGTTTCAATTCAAGTAGTGTCCTACTCTTTGAAATTGCTAAAAGATTACAATACAGGGTATTTGCCAGTTCTTTTCAGCTCAAAAACTAAGTAGTCTTTTAAGAAAAAAGGCATCATCACTCTTCATGAACGGCTGTGGCAACTTCTGCGTTGTCTACCCTGGGAAGAAGTCCTGTCAGCACTTAGGAGATGCCACTGGTGTAAGACATTGCTGAGAGAGATGGCTCCAATGCAGGAGTAATTCAGTGACACATCATTACATGGTAGCTGAGCATACCTGCGCGAGCCCAATTATTCATTTTTTCTGGGAAAAGCTACAAAACCACTGAGGAAATCAAAAGAACAGCTGTAGGGAAGACAACAGAGAGGAAGGGCATAGTTAGGAAGTATTTCTCTAAGTAATAGAGATATCACCAGTAATTTATACGTTAAAATATATTCCAGTTCATCCATTCTTCCACCCAACCATCTGCCAATTAAAGACCTGCTCCATGCTAGGGATATAGTAATGAGCAAAATAGTAAAAAATCCCTGCCTGCATGGAACTTATCTTCTAGTGGGGAAACAGACAATAAATATTATGTCAGAGAGCGATAAGTACCATGGAGAAAGATGCAACAGCAAGGAGAACAGAGCGCTGAGAGGTTGTAATTTAGGTAGGGTGGCTGGGAAATATTTCACTGAGAAAATGGTGTTTGAATAAAGACTTGAAGGCAGTAGGAAATGAACCATATAGATAGTTGGGAAAAGAGAATTCTGGGCACAGGGAGCAGCCAATGGAAAGGCCTCAGGCAGGAGCAGGGCTGACACATTAGAGGGACAGAGAGGAGGCTAATGTGACTGGAGAGGGTGAACAAGGGGGAGAGAGGTAGGTGATGAGGTCCAAGGTAACCAGGAAGTTCATCGTGAAAATCACTGTAAGGACTTGGACCTTTACTAGGAGTGAGCTAAGAAGCCACTGGGAGTTTCGAGCTGAGACCCATGTTTAACAGGAGCCCCCTGGTGGCCACATGCAGAATGGAATGGAGGTGGGGGAAGGTGAAGCAGGGAGCCAGGGAGGAGGCACCTAGTCCTGGTAACAATGGGAAGATGCTGTCAGGCTCCCCCTGTCCTAGTACAATGAGGTGATGCAGTCAGGTTCCAGAATGACATCATTTGCTGATGTATCAGATATGGGATGTGAAAGAGAGCAGTCAGGGAGATTGCTAGGCAATTGTCCTAAACAGGTAAGGGTGGGATCCTCATTTACTGATATAGGGAAGACTGTGAGAGGAATAGGTGTCAGGGCAGGAATATCAGGAAAACCATCTTGGACCTTTACATTTAAAATACCTATTTGATATCCAAGTGCACATGGTGAGTAGGCAATTGGGAATTCGCCTGAGTCCAGGGGAGAGGTCTGGGACAGAATTATAATATGAGACATCAACAACATGTAGAAGGTATTTAAACCCATTTGCCTGGATGAGATCACTTAGGGAGTAGTGTAGACAGAAGTGAGGTGAGGTCTAAGAACCCGTATGAGATCACTTAGGGAGTAGTGTAGACAGAAGTGAGATGAGGTCTAGGAACCTGGGTCCCCCATGTTTTCAGGCTGAGGTGATGAGGCAGAACCAGCAGAGGAGACTTAGAAAGGTGTGGCAGAGAGGTGGGAGGAAAGGCAAGGCAGGGGGCAGCACTGCTGAGGAGGCAAGTTAGGTGAGCACTGGAAGCTCATCATTACACTAAGCAGGGCAGGGGCACTGGTGCCTTGACAAGAGCTGCTTGGTGCAATGGTGACGGCCAAAGCTTGAGGGCAAACAGGGTCTTGTTTCGTGAGTGCCTTGAGCCTGGAGATTTCCCAGGATAACATCAAGCTGCCAGCCATCTGAGGGTTTCTAGAAAGGGGAGAGAGGAAGATCACATAATTCAGCGTACCTGGGGCCCTAATGCGTCGCTGTCTAGAGCCCAGCCCTTCACTATATTTCCTTCTGCAATTGGTTACAGATAGCCTTGGGAGAAAGGAGAACACACTAGGGCCCTTTCAGGGCCCAAAAGACAGAAGAGACATAAGGAAGGGGCACACTTGTACCCCATTGCCCTTTGTGTCACTTCCAGAGTGGGCGGCCACTTGAGCCTTGGCCTCTTTTCTCCAGTAAAGACTAGGATAAGAGTGAGTACTTTGCCCTCCCTCCAAACAACAGTGAGCATCCCTTTTGAAGGCGCCAATTACAAAATGATCACTGCTACAGAGGGGTCATTGTCGTCAGTAGAAATGTACTGTTTTAAGGCACAGGGTTCGTTT